ATGGCTAGGGCTGACTTGGACCCGTCTGACTCCACGCTCTTTCCATGGCACACTGCCTCTGTCTCGCCTTCCCCAGGTTCCTCCCCCTGGGGCTAGAAAATCGGGAATGCAGCTCTACACGTGCAGCCTGAGCTTCTGCAGACCAATGCCCCCTTCCCTGAGCCGGGACAGCCGGCAGTGTCTGGCTTAAACCTCAGAGGCCAAGCACTGCTTGCTCAAGCTGCTTTCTCTCCACCTGTCTCGCAGCCCCCAGCACATCTGAACCCTATGCCTTCCCCAGACAGGCTTCTTTACTCCAGGGCCCATGCTCCTCACAAGTCAGAGGACATTTGCTAAAACCCACATGGTCTTCCTTCTTGTGATTCAAAGAGGTTCCACAAAGCTCAGAGCCTCCCAGGAACCTCTGCCTTTGCCAAGGTGCTGAGAGCGACACAAAGCAAAGGGAGGCCACAGGCTCTGCCTCCTTCCCTCTGCCAGCTAGACCAAGTCTCAGAGGGCCAGCAGCCTTAGGATGGGCCTCCTTGGAGGTCAGCCTCATACCTGCTCTGTCCCCTAATATCCCAGTGGGTCCTTACTCCCCCTTAATCCAGGCTATGTCCTCAGGCTGAGTCTACGTTTCAGCCAGGCATGTGGTATTTCCTGCCCTCCAACCTGCTCCAGGAAGCCTTGGCCTCAGACTCTGTGTCCCTTGGCACTGCTGGGCAGGTGGGCTAACCCAGGCCAGCAATTTGCCTTTCGGGCTTGTATGACTGCAAGATTCGGGTGGGGAATTAGACCCATCCAGCCACCCGCTCATTCAGCAAATATTTACGGACCACTGCCCAGTGGATGAGGTTTATCCACTCACAGAAGCCAGCCCTTGAGAGTTCTACATGAGAGGAAAAAAGGCCAAAAGGCTTTAATCCTTCCTGAGTACAAACTGTTAACTCTGGCATGACCACAGCTCCTGGCATCGCGCGGCTCCTGATGAGCACCCTCAGCTCCTGTACAGCTTGGCCTCCTAAGGAAGTGCAGTTTGGAAAATCGCTTTCAGAAAATCACTGGCATTATTGAGGACACTTCTCAGACTATTCTTGCAGCTTGTGGTGAATTAGGAACCAGAAGTGGACCTGGAGCCCAGAGAATAGGGGAGGTGCTGGGACTCGGAGAGTAGGAAAGCCATCTGTCCTCCCCCATGGGCGGAGCCATATCTCAGCCCCCTACGACACCAAGGAGCCTCTGGGACCTGAAGCCTTTTCAGAAGCCACACTTGACACCCTTGGCTGGCTTCCCTGGTGTGTTCCAGAATAGGGCCTTCTCCAGTGTGGCTAAATTGGAAGCTACTTAGAAAAGACTTAGAAAGGTCAGCCTGGGACTCTTTCTGGAAGGGCCTTGTCCATGCTAAGGAATCCGAACTTGACCCCGTCAGGGGTGAAGAGCCACTGATAGCCTCTAAGCAACAAGTGTTCTGTCAGATCTGTGGCTTAGAAAGTTCACTCCAGCAGTGGGGAATGGATTGGGCCGCGTGTGGTGGGGGACTGGCAGAGGGCCACCCGGGGAGGGCCGTTCTGCAGCAGGGCCAGTGAGAGGAGACGTGAGGCAGTCCGGACCGTCACTAGCCAGAGCCCCTGAACAAGGGCAGAGGCTGGGAGGCGAGGGCGGGTGCAGAGAGAGACGCACCAGGACATGGTGGCTGATGGTGTCAGGGGCAAGAACGGTGAAGGGGGTAAGATGATACTGGGGTGTCTGGCTTGGCCACCTTGGGTGGTGACACTCTTCACTGAGCTGGGGGAGGTACACAAAGAGCAGGTTTGGGAAGACAGAAAGAGTTAGATTTTTGGATGTGCCCCATTTGAAGCACACTCCAGGAAAGGTTCAGTAGAGTCTGATACCCATGTGGGCCTGCAGCATAGGGCAGAGAGTGGGGCTGGAGACAGACACTGGAGAGTCACCTCCAAGCAGCAATTAGAAGCCATGTAGTGGATGAGAAATCCACAGAGATGCATGATGTCCGCAGAGGCGAGGCCATGCTGGGCCCTCCGGCATTAAGGGGAAGAATCGTCATCATTTGAGAGGCCAAGAGAGGAAGGAGAGGGGCTTGGGAGAAAGTCCTGCCCCAAAAAGGCCTCCCACACCCAGGAACCACTGCTGTGGTGTGCGTGCTGGGGGAGTACCATCACCCCAGCCCACACCAGCCCGCCCCCCATGTCCGGACGTGCAGGCACTAGACTGGGGGCCGTGAGCCCACCTAGCCAAGGAAGACCTCCAGGAGATGGCCCTCATCATTTATCTTTTACTGGTGGATTAATTTAAAAAAGCCATTTTCATAGTCAGCCAAGTTTCTTCCAGGTGAAGACTCTCTTTGTTCAGGACAATACTACCCTGGGAAGAGACACATTAGCCTGTAAGGAGATGGCAAAACCAAGAGGCATTGGGGCTCTTGTGCCTAAGAGGTCAATGCAAGTCACCCCGTGGGGCCAAAGTCAAGAAAGACCAAGTGGAGCTGGCTGGAGAAAGAAGAGAGTGTGTGAGGCACACCCCCAAGGAAGCCTGAGTCTGTCAAGATAGAAGCCAGGGACAAGCTTCCAGGGAGCAGGGGCCAAAAGCTTTTGAGGCTCATGATGACTCAGATTTTCATTCTCAGCCATTTGCATTGCTGAGCCGCAAACTCCCTGTGCTGCCACCAACATCTTCAATAAAGGCTGCGCTGCGTGCAAACACCTTTGTTAGTGGGTTTTGCTTTTGTTTTGTTTTTCCTCCGAGACAAGGAGAGACTAAAGACCAATGGGCCAGGTTCTTGACTTAAGCTCGCAGAGCAGAACCCAGGGAAATGAGGGATGGCAGTGAATTACAGGTTCAGAGGAGGCTAAAGCTGATGAAGATCCCCGGAGACCCTGGGAGGGGAAGAGGATTTCCACCGTATTGGGATGGGTGTTGACGTGAACTATATGGCACAAGATGGGGTGATAGCCCCTCTGCCTCTCATACTTGGGCTACCATTGTTTTTCATTTCCATATTAAAAGAGCATGGTATGTATCGTGTTGCAAGAGGAAAGAGAATGGTGGGTCTTGTTTCACAACTTAAATACTTGATTTCATATACTATCAGGTTTCATATTCTATTATCATGTCACAACTCTGACACCCCTCCTGGGAAGGTCAGAGTGTTCAGCTGTGACATCTTCAGATGTCACAGGGGTGACATAGGGATTCAGGGGGTGGATAGGGATTCTAAGAGGAGTGGAGACAGCAGTTTTAGGCTGTGGTTGGCCACTCAGGGCCACACACCTGTGTGGAGGGGCCAAGGTCTCACCTGATGGGATTGGTCATTCCTGGTATCAATCACGTGCGAAGAGGCACATCCCAACTTAGAAATGGGGCCTGAGAGGAGCACTTAGGAAGGTAAGAAGGGAGATTCTCATTCCCCTGGGTTCCACCAAGAAGGACCAACATGGCGAAGGGGAATAAACAAACATGGGATCACGTGGCAACTCACGCTGACTGGTTGTGGCTTGTCTGTTGGGAAGGAATTCATAGCCGTGTGCGGGCTCAAGAAAGGGTGCTGTGATCAGTTAATTATGTCTGCCATTGGAATGGGAACAAGGGAAGAGATATATGTGCCAAGTATTTTCCACCCCTGGTGCAGACAATACAAAGGGCGTGCGCATATGGTGGGAATGGGGAGCCAGGCTCCCGAGCTAGTCTTTGGACAGTATTTACAGAAAAGCTGCCTCTAAGAGAGAGGTAAAACTTGAACCCAAGGAGAGCCGCATGTTCCAATCATTTCTCAACTCCTTGAAACGATCCCCCCCAGACCTATAGCAGAGTGTTCTGGGACCCACACAATTTAAAGATGAGAGTTTGAAGAAGAAAAGAGTGGTCAATAGTGCAAAAGGCTGTTGAGAGGTCAAGAAATATAAGGGCCAAAACAATTCCCATCTGATTTGGCAACATGATGCAGAATATTGGGGCCAAAGGCCAGTCTGCAGAGGAGTAAATGGGAGGTGGGGGCACGGAGAGGGAAGGTTGGATGGAGCTTTTGAGATGCTGGGCATCCCTGGTGGCCTGGGGAAACCCTACAGTACAATGTCACAGCATTTAAAAGGTGCCTTAAAAAATCTACATGCACGCTAATCTCAATTATACACATATTCATAATATATGCATAGTGCAGTATAAATTAGAAGATAGGAAGGAAACACGTGAAAATCATTGTTAAAATGAACAAATTTTGTTTCTTTACTCTTCTGAATTTTCTAAGATCATTTAAAAATGATCATGCGCTATTTTTATCATCAGATTAGAGGCATGGGAAATTAGCTTAGAAATAAACCCAGCTATTATGGGCTGGAGGGACAATAAGAAATAGGCTGGGAAGGGGATGACCCACCAGCCCAGTTTGTCTGGGACTGAGGGCGTTTCCAGCATGTGGGAATTTCAGAGCTAAAAATGGCAAAATCCCAGGGAAACCAGGATAAGTTGGTCACCCTAGCTGGGAGGCTGAGGTGGAAGGTTTTTTTTGGGGGGGGGGTGGCTGTTGGGGTAAAGAGGTTTTGAGCATATTTGGAGGCTGAGAGGAGGACTCCGTGAAACAGGGAGAGAGGCTGAATTTATAGGAAATTTATAGGAGAGGGAAAAGAACTGCCCGGGTGAGGTCAGTAGGAAGGGAAGCAGCTGGGGGAGATCCTCGGGCACAGACGCTCCGTAACGGAAAAGAAACCGTGTTTCTTCTAGACAGGAGGGCAGACTGGCTAAAAATAAGTTTGTTGATGTGGGGGAAAGGGATCAAAGGAAGGAACACCTGAGGGCTGGAAGGTCAAGTAAGGCTGAGAAGCCTCTAGAATAGCTGGGGACCCTGAGCACCTGCAGTGGTCTCCAGACAGGCACTCCCCAGAGCAGGCACCCTGGACGTTGTTGGAGTGGACGGCGTAGGCTCCCCCACTGAAGACCGGGTCCCCCTGGAAGCTCCAGCATCCCGCTCCGGGTACTGCCCACCCTTGAGACCCTCTCTGGCTGCCTACCTCTGCAGGAGGGCAGGGGGAAGTCCCACGTGGCACTGTTCTCGGAGCCGGCGTGGCAGGTGAGCACGGCGTGGCCCTCCAGGAAGAAGCCGGGGTTGCAGCTGTAGCGGACCTTGTCCCCGAGGTTGAAGGTTGAGCCCTGCTGGATGCCATTGGGCAGCCGCCCGGGGTTCCCACACGTGTGACTGGGGAGAACTGTGAGAGAGGGAGACATGCAGCCTGTGAGCGCGGCTTCAGCCCTGATGCCCATTTCCGCGCAGCACCTGCCCGGGCGAGTCACCTCCCCGGGTCTCATTTCCCTGGTAGACGGGCTGGCCCTCTCAAGGCTGCCTAGTCCCTGAAAACACACGGTGGTCCTGGGTTCAGGAGGAGCCACGCTTGTGGCTTTAGCCAGACATCCAGGTTTCCTGCCTTTTCTCCCGCACAGCCATGGGGGTGGATTACGTCTGTCCCATCACTCGAGATGCCCCAGGGAAATCACTTTAATCTCTTGGGTTCGGTTGCCCTGGTTTCACACTCCACATTCCTCAAGACCAGGGAAGGGGCGCAGAGCATGGCAGGGAGTAGGTGCTCATTAAACCCAGTGTTTCTGCTTTCATGCCTGTCTGCCCTGGCAGCCAGAGCGGTCCTTCGGCCCAGCAGGTTTGGGAGAGTTGAAGGGTGTTAGTGCTGGACCAGACAGTGAAGTGGGAAGACAAGAACCTGAGTTCTGATCCGACTGACCCACTTAAAGGGGGAGATGGGGAGCCAGGGAATACAACGTACAATGTGTGACCCAAGCCAAAGCAATCACGGCCAGCTGTGGGTGCGCTCTCTTTATCCCGAGAAACTGGGGAGGGTGCCAGAGCATCGTAACCTGCCAATCTGGGGGGAGGAGGGGGGGAGCTCCTCTGCCTGAGTCACTGGTTCAACCCAACCCAGCTCCCCCAACCCTCTTCCTTTCTCCCCAGAGTTAGAATTGCCTGCGCACTGAAGGTCAGACCGCCTACCAATCTGAGATGTCCCCACAGGGCAATGACAAGGGCTCACAGCCATGACCAGAGTGCCACACAAGTCCGTGTCCATCACTCACTGAGACGTCACTGTTTCAGTGACTGGCTGTAGAACAGGGTGGTGGGGAGTACAGACTCAAGAACTTGGGTGCGCATCCTGGACAGACGGCTTACTACCTGTGGAACCCCGAGCAACTCTCTTAACCCCCTGTGCCTCAGTCTCCTCTTTTGCAAGACAGGGATCACGACAGTACTTTCCTCCCTCACCGGGTATTGGGGAGAATTAGATGAGCGAAGATACGCAGAGTGCTTAGGACAGAGCCTGGCAGACATGTGAATAAGACACATGTGAATCTGAGCACACTTCATGAGAGATGTGCACAATTAAAGGTATGTTAAATGTTCTGATGGGATAGGGACCAGGCAGGGGACCAAACCCAGTCTGCGGCAGTCCGAGATGGCTTCCTGGAAGAGGTGACATGTATGTTGAATCCTGAGAGATTAGTAAGAATTAGTTAGGCCAAAGAGTGTCCCAGGAAAAGGAAATATCATACACAAATGCCCTGAGGCCAAAGATAACCTAGGAGATCAAGAAACCTGAAATAAGAGAGCAGGGTTGGCCAGGATGAGGAATAAAGATGAAGAAGTGGAGGTGGCCAGCCTGAATCCTAGAGAGCTTCCCGGGCCCTTGCCGTACACTCTTCCTGACCATGTTGCCGTCTTCCAGGACCCTCTCTACCAACCCTGATGATCTTAGAACCCTCAGAAAGAAGGCTTTCCCTCCCTCTTCTTATCCTCCCCTTCCAGGAGGAGAAAGCATGGTGTAGAGAGAAACGGCAGACTTTGCAATCACCTTGATCTGGGTCTGCAACCAGGCGCTGTCTCTGTCTTACTCTGTGGCCTTGAGTCATGTGACCTCTCTAAGCCTTGATCTCCTCAACTGAGAAAGGAGAAGAATACCTAGTGGTGGAGGGGGTTACCGATACTACATGATGCATGGTTGGCTGACACAGTGCCCAGCACGTAGTAGGTGCTCGGAAAATGGCAGATGCCTGACTCCACTGGGTCACAGGACCACAAGGGCAGGGGCCCTATCTGGTCCGTAGGTGTATCCTGGGAGCCCTAACACAATGCCTGGCACTTGCAGGGACATAATTGTGTGTTCATTAATTAGTTGTTTGGGCAAGTTACTCATTCATGAATTAATTCCTTTATGCAACAAAAATTTATTGTGGGCCTATCTTGCTGGGAATTAGCAGTGAACTAGACAAGGCGGGTCCCTGCCCTCGAGAGGCTGATGTTTTTGTGAGTTATCTAAAGGACTGAAGAGCTCTCCATGCCCATGCTCTCTCTCGACCGGGTGTGATGACCCAGATGAAAGGATTACCTCTCTCATCCTGCCCACTGGCCCAGCTTAGCATTTCCACGATCTTGCTGCTGGCTACCTGGGCACTTCCTATGATCCCATGCTGCTGGCTACCTAGGCATTTCCCATGACCCCACACTATTGGCTACCTCAGTATTTCCCATGATCCCACACTACTGGCTACCTCAGCATTTCCCATGATCCCACACTGTTGGCCACCTTGGAATTTCCCATGATCCCATGCTGCTGGCTAGCTTGGCATTTCCCATGATCCCACACTACTGGCTTCCTTGGTGTTTCCCATGATCCCATGCTACTGTCTACCTCAGCATTTCCCATGATCCAACACTACTGGCTTCCTTGGCGTTTCCCATGAATCCCACGCTACTGTCTACCTCAGCATTTCCCATGATCCCACACTATTGGCTTCCTTGGTGTTTCCCATGATCCCACACTACTGGCTTCCTTGGTGTTTCCCATGATCCCACGCTACTGTCTACCTCAGCATTTCCCATGATCCCACACTACTGGCTTCCTTGGTATTTCCCATGATCCCACACCACTGTCTACCTCAGCATTTCCCATGATCCCACACTACTGGATTCCTTGGTATTTCCCATGATCCCATGCTGCTGGCTAGCTTGGCGTTTCCCATGATCCCACACTATTGGCTTCCTTGATGTTTCCCATGAGCTCTCGCTGCTGGCTTGCAGCAGAGTCAGTGACTGTGATGTGTGTGTGTTTGTGAGTGTTGGGGGTTGGAGGGGCGGGTCAGGTAAACACTTGGAGAAGAAAGCAAGCTAAGGTGAGGGGAGGGAGCCAACCAGAGGAAATGAGCTGAGAACTGGTGTAGAACTAACGTTTCATTTTCTGCAACGAGACACAAAGACCCAATTTAATTAAATTACTAATGTCAAATTTTTAATGAACCTGCTTCTGCTTTGGGCTTTCTTCCTTTGAAATTAATGACTGGAACGTCACTATAAATAAAAGTTGATTCTTTTTAAAAAGTCACTCTCAAACACTCACTGCTCATTACTTAATGAGCTGTTCATAATCAGGCCACTCTGACCTGGCACCTCAGCTGGGACTTGGGTGTGATGAATGGGGGCTCAGTCCCAACACCACCTCCTTTTTTATCTTGAGTTCTGCTCCTGAGAGGCCATACAGTGGCTGGGGAGAGAGGGCAGATGTTGGGCTCAGAGAGGTGTGGATTCCGATCTCAGCTCATTACCTCTAGCTGAGTGATCTTAAGCTGTAATTGTCACCTCTGGCCTTCAATTCTTCATCTGAAAATGAGGATACCTTTTCTTCCTATGGTGGGTATTGTATTAGTTTCCTAAGGCTGTAACAATGTACCACAAACTGGGTGGTTTAAAAAAAAAAAACAACAACAGGTACTTATTGTCTCATAATATGCAGGTTTAGAATTCTAAAATCAAGGTGTCTGCAGGGCCACAGTCTTCTGAAACTTGTAAGAGAACCCTTTCTTGTCTCTTTCTAGCTTCTGGTGGCTTTCTGGCAATCTTTGGCATTCCTTGGCTTATAGACACATCACTTCCAGCCTCCATCTTCACGTGGCATTGTTACTCTGTGTCTCTGTATTTAAATTTCACCTATGTATAAGGACACCAATCATTTTGGATTGTGATTAGGACACACTCCAATGAGCTCATCTTAACTTCATCATCTGCAAAGATCCTATTTCCAAATAAGGTCAAATTCACAGCTACTGGGGGTTATGACTTCAATATATCTTTTTGGGGACACAATTCAACTTATAGCGGGCTGTTGTGCACATTAAGTAAAGTTAGCTCTATAATATCCACTATTGAGTTCCTGGTATGTTTTAGGCCCTGGGCTACAAATTTATTTTACTTAATCCTCAAAATCCAGTGGAATACCTGTTATCTTCATTTTACGGATGAAAAATCTGAGGCACACAGAGTTTAAGCAACTTCCTCCAGGTTACACAGCTACAACATGACAGAGCTAGGTTGTGAATTTCTGTCTTTCTAGCTCCATTGTTCAGCACTCTTAACGGGACTGTAAAACTGCTTCTGACAGAGACAGCATCCAGCACATAGTGGGTGCTTAATCAACCAGAGTTCCCTCCCTCCCTCCATCATTGTAGGTGCCAAGACAAGATGAAGGGTGATTACCTGATTGTCCAGATTTAACAGTCTGTTTTTTTTCCCTCCAGTCTGATTTACTAACCTTGTATTTTTTAATAATGTCAAGGGCAACATTTAAAGTGAGGGCTTTTATAATGTGTCTGATGTGCAACTTGCTGGACAGACAGAGGAGATCGGAGATAAGCCACAAAGCAAGCCTTTCGAGGTGCAGCATTCTTTGATTTTTCTTTTTTTTATTTTGCTCATGTGTTTTTTGGCACAGATATTATAGCTGTTCATGCTCTCCCACCTATAAAACTTCCCTTTGACTGCTTACAAAATGAAGAGGGGGATATTTACATCCAATGCAGCCCAGAACAATATTATTAAAGCTGTGCCTGACATTGAACAATTCCATTGCAGATTAGCTGTGGGGAATTTTGTCCCTTCTACAAAGCCTGGCTCTTGCCAATCAACATAATAGTCTCAGTGATTGTATGACAATGAATCTCCTCTGTGGTTGGAGGGCAGCAAAAGCTACATCGTGCCTTCTTTTATTTTTAATTTGAGACTTTAGTTCCCATCTTAGAAAGAAGAGTCATTTATGCTCTCTGGACAAGCACCCTCCATATGTTTTGATTTCTTATCTTCCATCAAGTAACTTGTTTCATCTGCGTGGCCTTACGGTTGATACTAAGTGGCAGGACGGCTGGGAAAAAGGTT